TTTCAGAATAATGATTAGTTAGAGACCCATGATCTGCGATGGTTTCTTATTTTAGGTTAGGGGGAAGTTTCAGAATAATGATTAGTTAGTTTAACAAACTGCTTCGTTTGTGATTGTAGTTATTTCCAGCGTCATTCTAGCCCTTGTTTCGTTTGTAATTTCGACCATTGAAGGTGTGAGGAATGGCTTTACATGGGCTTTTACTGTTATTTCTATTCTTATGGTTTTCGGTGCCCTTTGTTATGTATTCAGTTTCATACTCTAATTGTATATTTGTACATTAGGCAAATCAGGCTTGAGATAACAGCTCACTGGTGACGCTGCTGCAAGAAAGGAAGCCATCAATGAAATTCAGAGCGACAATGGGAGGTATGCTGAGGACCAGTTCAATGATGATGGTTGGTTGGCAGTAGACAATTGTTCTTTGCTTTTCCCCTACATGACAAGGTTTGTGAAGAAGGATAAGATGGGGGAAAAGGGACAGGCAAGAGATGGAGAGAACTTCTTGCCGCTATTATGATGGATTGAAGAAAGGAACTTGGAGCACTGAAAGTAAACTTTCTTTAGTTTATTCTTTTGCTCTCTTATCATGTCCATTGCTATTGTCACCACCCTTGAAAGTTTACTCTTGTGCTTTATTTTTAACATAGACCTGACAAACTTTCATGATGGAAAATGCTCACATGCTACGTATGTTAGACATATAATTAGTATAAATAATAATAATAATTAATAATGTTGGAGGTTTGGCGGCTAACCTAGGCTAATTAGGTTAGGATTAGTTTATTAGGGTTTTGGGTTTATTTCCTATAAATATGTACTTTGGGTTTACGTCATAGGCAGTCAAGAATAATATTACAGAAAGTATCTCTCAAACCCTAGTCTCTAATCCTTCTTAAATCTCGTCCCTCTCGTCCCTAAAGGTCGTCGGCCATTCTTCTATCTCAACCCCAATTCTGTTCTTCAATCCCTAATTCCCAATTCTCCTATCTAAATCCCTAATCTCAACCCCTAAATCCCAATCTCACGAGTGCCGAAGATCACTCTCTAGAATTCTTAACAAGAGGGTTCTTTCAGTGGTATCAGAGCCCGGTTACAGGCACTCGTACCGGAGCCATGTCGAGATTCGAAGAGCTCTCAATCAGCGAACTCACAAGGATTTTGAAGTTGAAGCTAGCAGAGTTGACACGGAAAAATGGGAGTGATGTCAAAGGAAGGCTGTGGCACAGCAATCACCTCGCCGCCAGCACTCCAACACCATCAGCCGTCGTTGTGGAGAACTCGGATCCGGCTGAGGGTTCTTCTCCAATCATGACGGCGCAAGAAGAGACTTCCAATGACGCTGCTATCAAGCAGCCTACTCCTAACACCGATGCAACTATGGATTTGAAAGAATGGTTAGAACAACCTATGTTCCCAATCCCAATTGTTGATTACTGGAAACTCACGAAGAAAGAAGCAAGGAACCCACCATCGACCGGGGAGGCCTCGGCAACCGCGCAGGCAGATTTGGCTACGATGAAGAAAGAAGACCCGGGAGCGAGTCCCAAAGCGGCAAGGGATCTCCTGAATCCGGCCATCCTCCCGCCGCGGAAACCACCAGACCATCGACCATCGTCGACCCCGAACCTCGCCGCCGATGAATGCGAAGAGACAGAGAAGAAACCATATGCGGAGAGGAAGAAGGAGGGCGACGTTGGCAGCGACCGACGACACGAAGCAACAAAAGAGCAGGGTCGCTGGGAATCTCCACCGACGGTGCGGATCGAGTGGGAGGCGATACGAGCGGCGATCCCCAGGACAGCTCCGAGCGCGCGATTGATGGCGGCCTCCGTGGTGACGTCGATCGGTGAGGAGGCGACCTTGAAGATGAAGCCGGGTGCGGGCTGTCTTCCATGCGGCCGGATGATTGAGGCGCTACCAGAGAAGAAGGAGAAGGGACGTCCTCCGCCAAAGAGGGAGGAAGCGACGGAGTCGCCGACGAGGAGAATCGCGTCGCGGGAGAAGAAGAAGGAGCGCGGCGATTTCAGCGGGACTTCACCCGACTTCTCTCTTTCCTCTGAATTGGTGATCGGCAACGCGATGAGGAAGGAGACGAGCATGGCTGGAGCGGACCTCCCTCCTAGCCGCCTGACGATTCCGTCGCCGGAGAAGGAGGCGAAGAGTTCGCCGAGGGAGCAACTCTGGAACGACGGCGAAATTCCTTCTCCAGCAACCCTAGGTCGTGCCACCAAGCGGCCAGAACAGCTGGGCCGAGCTATGGTTCGATTCGCTGGGCTCATCTTGGGCCAAATCAGTGAGGCCGTGGGTCTGGTTGAGTTAGAGGAAGATGGGCCAGGAGCTACAGGCCCAATAACTGGTTATAAGTTAAGCAAGAGGGAGACCAGTTGGGCTCAGGGAGGAGTTGGGCCGCCCATGTGCTATACTTTGAAGAAGGGAGATGAATTTAATAGTTTGGCAGGTGGGTTGCTAAAAGAATCCGGCCCAATCGAGAGTGATGCTCGAGAAAGATTAGTTTGTGGAATTGAGCGTAATTGGAAGCGAAGAAAGCGGAAGATCAAGATCAAGAAGACGAAAGCTGACTGCAACCTTGAGGACAAGGTCGCTTCGAAGGAGGGTGGAATGTTAGACATATAATTAGTATAAATAATAATAATAATTAATAATGTTGGAGGTTTGGCGGCTAACCTAGGCTAATTAGGTTAGGATTAGTTTATTAGGGTTTTGGGTTTATTTCCTATAAATATGTACTTTGGGTTTACGTCATAGGCAGTCAAGAATAATATTACAGAAAGTATCTCTCAAACCCTAGTCTCTAATCCTTCTCAAATCTCGTCCCTCTCGTCCCTAAAGGCCGTCGGCCATTCTTCTATCTCAACCCCAATTATGTTCTTCAATCCCTAATTCCCAATTCTCCTATCTAAATCCCTAATCTCACGAGTGCCGAAGATCACTCTCTAGAATCCTTAACAAGAGGGTTCTTTCAACGTACTCAATGGACATTGTAACCATGTTTGCTTTCAGATTCATGGTTGGTTGACAACTTCAGAATGGCGGTAGTGTTTTACTGTACATAATGGTTTGATAGAACACAAGTCCCGGGTTGGATATTTCTGCTACAGTTTTGGTTTATGATAGTTTAGGTGATGCTATTGGCCTCGGATAACAACTAAGCAAGGCACCTCCCAAATTAGAAGCTTCAGTATGTGTAGTTACAAGTCTAAAGGACATCAACAAATTTGTTGTTGTTAACCTTTTTGGGTTTTCGTTCAGTTGTGAAATATAAGTAATTAGACATTTCGTTACGGTTCGTTGCTAATGCTTTGTCATTGGTTTGAGTTCCAAAATAATCGATCTGTGTTGTGTGGGAGTGGGAGCAGGGCCGAGGAACGTATATGAAGCTTCAAGGTGCCTACTGCTCGGTGATTGGATGCTTCACTGCCGATAAAAAAGATGCAGCATTTTTGTATCGACCGAATTTATATACATTTAATCTTAATTTCCACTCATCTACTGCTTAAGAGAAACCAAAAAACAGGTAACAAACTCTTCCTCCTCCTCTTCTCCATCTTAAAAACATGCTTTGCCTGTTGGCCTTAATTTTGCAGCTTTAATTTATAGTTAGATAACATAGCTTGAATGAACTTTTCTATCTGGAATTTGCTCAAAGAGCCAAAATAATTAAATATCATCATCTTGGATCTGCTTCTCGAATTCCTCATCTTAGATTTCATGACTTTGCTAGCGTGATTGTCATTTGTCTCTCTTATCTTTATCTTTAAATTTTAATGTTAATGGCACTGACAAGCAAACTGTTAGTTTCACACCTGAACTTTCAACTGCATAAATTATATAGGGAAATTACAAAGCCTATCCACCACAAAAGAGTAGATTGGATTGATAATCAAATTTAACGTCGAATTGAGAATAGCAAGTGCAACTTCTCCTCCTGGAAAGAGACCAAATTAACTATAATTAGACAGACTAAATCATGATCCTAGCCTGCAGGCTGCAAGTAAAGACAACATGTAGAACTAACCCAACGAGCATAGCTTCCTTTTCTGTTTTGTTTTTGAACCTAGATTTCAGACCCAGTAACAATCTATTAAACAATCAATCAAACACAAATGGATACCCTGTTGGTATGCCGGTTCAGCTTGCTTCTGTCTGTTATATGATTATCTTAATTATTTAGCTGTTATACTACTATGTTTGTGTTTCTTTTGGTTAGCTTTACACTGCTATTTAATTAAATATGATATTGACCATTATCACCTCTCTTCTGATTGCCTTTGTTTTTTTAAACCCATAGTGTCTCTGTCTCATTAGTGATTTCCTTTGTAATTACTTATGCATGAAAGATTGACAAGAAACTTCTACCCAAAAAAGATTGACAAGAAAATGGGGTTAAGATTGACACGTCATGAACGTAACTCGCTAGAATATAACAATTGAGACTGAAAGTCAAACTAATTTGGTAATTTAAACGTCACCGAATAAAATGGTCACTTGCAGGTACTACTATATATCTGCTTAAAAACGTTTTAAACTTAACTTTTTCAGGGCTTGATGGTTTTAAGTTTGATATGCACACGCACTGTAGCATGTATGTCAAATGTCTGCGAATACCACAATTACAAAAACCAACCTATGTCAGATGCTTGAGAATACGACTTTGATTACACATGTTAATCTATAATAAATCCTCATATCTTCATGATAACGTTCCCTAACCTGTGCCTTTTACCATTGTCATTGTTTTGTTTTCTTTTCTTTTCTTTTACCTGCCAGGTCATGCTCAATATGAGAATTCTGAGCGGTCAATAACATATAATTTCCTTTTCAGTTGATTCATTTATCTGTGACCATTGGCAGCATCTTACATCCATTGGTTGAAATATTTGTTTGCCTTGCCGTTGAAGTATAGATGATGGACCTGAATGAGTTTTACTTGGTTGTCTGTTTTAATTTAATATTTGCTTTCTGAAGCTAATAACCATCTTACTCATTGCAAGTATAGTTTTAGTGTTCCTACTGTATTAATTGTTTAACAGGTTGCTTTTTTTACTTGCTGTTCTGATTGCAAGTCTTTGTGTTCTTAGTGTCAATTACAGCTTTCAGCATTACCATTATAACAACCACAAGCTCTGAAAGTTTGCAGATTATTCAGCAAGGTGAAAGGAAGGTAATTAGCTGTATTTTCTTTATTTGTTATGGTTAAATATATCTCTCTCTTCCATATCTCTTGAATTAAAAAAAAAAAAAAAACTGGATTCTCCAGTGGTTCAGATGAGTTTGTGATGCTTGCTTGAGCTCTTCATTTGCCTTTTGAAAGTGAACAGAATGCCAATTGTTAGGGAAGGATTGAGTACTAATTAACTTCTTTTCAGTGTTTATTCTTTGTTGTGCATTCAGGAACGAGTGATGTTGGGAGGAGTGCCTCGCCCTAAAATGCAAGTAGTCAACTTCTTTAGTTCGTGTATGTTATTACCTATGATTATAGCTATCAATAGTGGTGATGGTACTCTAATTTGTTTATGTTATGTCAATAATTATGATATAATAGTTATCGTCATCTATTCAGTATTTATAGTAATTATGTACTCTTTTTAACTCAACTTTTTTTTTATTCGCGAAGCATAGCGAGCGGGTCATTGCTAATATTAATTATTAAAAGTATAATAGCCCAATACATCTGGTGCTGTACATATAATACGTCCCGAGTTTTCACTATTCCTAAAATGCAAAGACAAACGGACGGGGGATTAGAAAGATTGAGAAAGAGAGTCCTAATCTTGAAGTTGTCTACTAATGGTGTGGTGCTAACAGACTGAGAATGTCTTTCTGACGGGAGTCTCGGAGATGAACGATGCATCGAATCTGAGAGAAGAGATTCAGCATGAATAACTTTATATCCTCAAATCTTTTTAATTTCATATCTGATTTGAGCTTTTTGCATGCTGTGTTGTTAGGTTATGAAGCGCTTAAGTTGTGATTTTTCAGCATTCCAGGGGGTTGGTTTGGTTGGGTTCCAACTGGCGGATTTAAATAGATTTAGAGGGGCTTTGGAACTTCAAATTATCTCTCTTGCATTCATCAGTCTTTGTGTTATATCTGTATCTGTATTTTCTTTCCTTTTTTTTGAAAAAAAAATCTTATAAGCAAGCACCTCGGATTGTGGGCATAATCATCTGTTTGGTGTGACAGGTGAAGCAGAGGCTACAATTGTCGGCACTTGGAGCTGATTCCGTGCCCTTAGTTCCCAAGCTTTCCCCTAAATCTCTGTTAGTCTCCACTCTATACATTTGCATGCATTCATTCATCTTTATTTATGTGGGGTCTTTCTATTTCTACATTTGTTTGGAAATTTTACCGAGTTGGTTGTGGGTTGTGGTTTACGACTTCACCAGAAAGAAAGAGATGTTTTTGAAACCGAACAATCAAGGCCAGTATCCTGTGGAATCTCCACAGTACGTAGTTCTCTCTGTCTGGTCATTGTTTTTATCTTTTGACAGTTGCATGGAGAACCTCCAGTCCTGAGTCCCTGGAAGGAATTGTCATCGTGGTCTCAGTGCAATTAGTCTCTGCTGTTTGTGTTTAAAGCGTTTCAGTTTCCCTTCCATGTTGATGATGCCCATTAATTTCCGTCTCATTTCATAGACCATGCATGCAACTGTGGTGCAGTCAGTGCGTGCATTAGACATCACATTTTACGTTCTTGGTATTCATGAATTGATGATGCGTTTATCAACTAGTGGCAGGGTGAGGTGGTGATTTTTATCTTCCCACGGAAACAGACACAGCTATATCTGTGAGATTTGATGCCAAACAAATGCTCTTTGGCCAAGTGATTGTATTGTAGGGTGTACATAAATCCGAGTATTATGTATGTGTTTCAATTTTACTATGCTCCTCACAGTTTGTCAAATTATTATTGAGACAAACAATCAATTGTCTTTCTGTAATGGTTTAATTTATTGTTTTTTTCGCCTTAGTAGTTTGTAGACAACAATACTATGGATGTAAGTTTTCTGTTTGATCCATTTTACTTAATAGATTGTTTTTCCCTTCTGCACTTTTTTATTCTGGAAATTTCATGTGATATAATAGGGTATGATATAAAAGGCTCACCCTTGGATCAACCTTACTTCTTTCTTTGTTGCTTAAAAACTTAGGAAGATATGGTTGCTTACATTATAAGTGGAAGTTTACCTATGCTTTATGTTTCAAACATAATAGATTTATGATTAGCATTTGTTAGAAATTCCATTATCTTCGTGAATTTCGAGGATCAACACTTATTAAATCACAAATTTTCACTCATCCCGGCGCAAAACACGGGTAAGAATACTAGATAAATTGGCCCGCGCGTTGCAGCGGGTAAGACATTTAGTTCTTAATTTTTTTAAAATTGTTTGATTTTTTTTTTACATATTTTAACAATCATAATATCCAAATTATCTAATTTTATGATTTTTCTATGAGTTTAAATAAGGTTATCTAGCTAACATATTAGTCACATGAGTAAAGGGAAAAACGACCATAATGCCTAATACATAATGTTATGAACAATCTAAGAAGATTTACCAATGGTGTCCTTAACTATTGAAGTAATGATGTATATGAACATTGCTATTCAAACCACTTGAATGGTTACTAATGATTATTTATTGATAAAATCAGTATATTTATTGATCACGTAATGCTTACTAATTAAGCAGCATAGCTTTAATATCACGGCTTCAAACATCTCTTGAGGCAATGGTGGTAGTGACTCTAGGAATTGTTTCAACCAAAACCACTCAAACATTGAGATCGATTCTAAATTACCCCTTAAATGCAACATGAAACTATAATATATCTAATAAGATGGGAAAATGTAAGTGTAGTGAAGTGAAAGCAGAATGTTATTGAAGAACGAAGGTAGCCATGTGTCATTATCTCACTGCCATGTGTAACTCATGCATCTATATTGCCAATGGGAAACAGAGTTTTAACCACAACACAACATCTGGATTTTGAAACGACCAGCCTAATATAAATCAAAGTTCGTTAGAAGAGAGACAACAATGCTCACTAAGAAGTAATTAGCAAATCTCTAAAACTCTATGGGGCATTTATTCCCCTGTGCCCCTATTCCTTTTTTTCGATTTTCTTTTCTCCTGTCCTTGGGATGGTGAGAGTGTCCGTGTGGGGTTTCTTATGCCTCATTGCTTCCTCTATTCTGTGTCTTCCTTTCTTTGTGTTTCCCACTCTGGGATTCTTTCGTTATTCGTGGCTTATCTATGTTCCTATTATGCATAGATAGACATCCTATTTATTTCCAATAATCCACCAGGTAATATTATATCTACCTGATTGGATGTAAACCGGCTTCTGAATAGATACCGTAGAACCAATGAGAGCTTCCTCTACTCTGGTTGTTCATTAAGAAAAGGTAGGCTCATCTACTTAGGGCTCCAATTTCACGGAGGTGAGGAACCTCGTTGAGAAGTATGTATATTACTCTCCTCCTATCCACATGGTTTCGATTTTGCGGAGAAGAAGACGCGGGAATGGAGAAAGCCCAGGCGAGCGGAGACAGAGAGCATCTCATGCACCAACCCGCAACTGAACAAACCCACACCCGGTGAACTGTGAAAGTTTGGCTTTTCGAGCGGTAGCTAACACTATGTGTTCATAGACGAAGGTGTAGACGAAATACAAACCTATCGTCATCACAACCAAGCCATGGAGAAGCTTGGAGCTTCGATTCTCCAGCTATCTATCTCCAATCCCAGCTTGCCCAACCTCTAGGGATCACTGGGGCAAAAGGCAGTGGGATAGGCACCAATCAGTCGTAGAAGAGGATTTCTGGAAGGGGAAGAAGGGGAAAGTAGACCGAAACTTGGCTAGCCGTCAAGCCAATCGTCGAAGGGGCAAAGAGTGTTGAGATGGAGTAGTTGCATATTGAGAACAGGCAAAAGGCACGCGGGTGCGTAGAAGCATAAGGTGTACCCTTCCGTATTTGCCTAGACCCCTTAAGCTAAACTCGCCAATTAATATATAATATAATAAATTTATGATTAGCATTTGTTAGAAATTCCATTATCTTCGTGAATTTCGAGGATCAACACTTATTAAATCACAAATTTTCACTCATCCCGGCGCAAAACACGAGTAAGAATACTAGTTAACATAAGAACCAGAATCAACCAATTCTCTGTTCAAATTGCTCTGGAACTACCACTCAAAGGTAACATATTCGCATGAATAGAATACCTCCAAACGCAACCCATACACTCTACAGAAAAGACCTAACATCTGAAGAGTAAACGTGACATCTGAAGCAATCTGGTGGTTCCAATCTACAGAATCTAGCAACGTACGTGAGCATTGACCTTTATCGAAAACTCAAATGCAAACACCTAGTTTAGATCTCAACCGGGAAGACTATCCATAAGCTATCCCACATGAGCGTTTTTGCCTCAAATTCACGTATCTTTCTTGAAACAATATTATGAACATGCTGTCGGATTACGAGGCCTGCGAACATCGTAAACATATACGTTCTTGCCATTAAGGCACAGAGAGAGATACCACGGTTTAACTTGCACACCAATCTAGTACTTCACAGAGGAAACTAACCAAACCTATAAAGCTCCAAGATTTGGTAGTGGAAACAATGCTAAAGGCTGTCAGCTTTTTTCATCTTCTTCAGTCCTCTTCACTTCTCCTTGGCAATCTGAAACACAAACTAAAATGAAGCAAACTACCACTGCAGAAAATTTGGCTACTGATGTAGTAAGCAGGAGGGTCAAAACCCTCCACAAGGAAGTTTATAAAATGAACAGAAACTAGACTTCCTCAGCGTGCAAAAAACATAGCCACTTCTCGTCAGCATTACACAACCCACTAACATAACAAACCAAAATGAATATAGGCCGAATGGAATTAACGCAGAATTCTCATTTTATGCATGTGCCGCCATATCTCCCCGGTAAGAGTAAGTGGAACTTCTCCTACAACTAATCAGACCGAGTCCTTCACTTCTTCACCTCCTCATATTCTGCCTCGGGGGCCTGGTCACCGCCGCTGCCACCTTGAGCACCGCCTGAAGAACCGTCGCTGCCTCCACCTGAAGAGCCCTTGGACATGTGCTCCCCAATCTTGGACAAAGCCTTGTTTGCGACATCGATTTTGGACTTGATCTCGTCAACATTGTCACCAGACAATGACGCCCTCAAATCAGCAACAGCGTCTTCGATTTCTTTGACCACTTCAGAGGGAACCTTGTCCTTGTACTCGTTCAGACTCTTCTCGATGCTGTAGGCGGTGGTATCTGCAGAGTTTCTTACATCGATCAGGGCCTTCCTCTCCTGATCCTTCTGAGCAAACTGCTCAGCCTCCATCACCATCTTCTCAATCTCGTCCTCTGATAAGCCTCCCGATGATCTGATGGTGATCTGTTGCTCCTTTCCGGTGGCCTTGTCCTTTGCAGATACTGTTACAATGCCGTTTGCGTCGATATCGAAGGCCACCTCAATCTGAGGCAATCCCCTTGGTGCTGGTGGAATACCCGTCAAATCGAACTCTCCCAGCATCTTGTTGTCGGATGCCATCTCCCGCTCACCTTGGAGGACCTTGATCCCGACTTGAGTCTGATTGTCAGCAGCGGTTGAGAACACCTGGAGAAAATCCAAACCACAGCAAAAATATAAGCTGATGAACTATATTGCTGGATGAAACTTCAATAATAACTACTTAAACAAGTGAGAATCTGACCTGGCTCTTCTTGGTAGGAATGGTGGTGTTCCTGCTAATCAGACGAGTGAAGATGCCACCCAATGTCTCAATACCAAGAGACAGAGGTGTGACATCCAAGAGAAGCAACTCTTTCACATCTCCCCTGAGAATGCCACCCTGAATAGCAGCTCCCATGGCAACTGCTTCATCTGGGTTGACTCCCTTACTAGGACTCTTCCCAAATATGTTGGAAACTATTTCCTGAACCTTAGGTACGCGGGTCATGCCCCCTACAAGCAGCACCTCATCAACATCCTTAGTTGCTACGCCAGCATCCTTCAAGCAGTTCTTGCATGGCTCCTTGGTCCTTTCAATCAAGTGATTAACCAGGCTCTCAAACTTTGAACGGGTCAATGTAATATTCAGATGTTTTGCACCCGATGCGTCTGCAGTGATAAATGGCAAGTTTATGTCAGTTTGACTTGTCGATGACAGCTCAATCTTGGCCTTCTCAGCTGCCTCTCGGAGCCTCTGCAGGGCAAGTCTGTCCTTGGTAAGGTCAATACTCTCCGTCTTCTTGAACTCACTCACCAAGTAATCCAACAGAGCATTGTCGAAATCCTCCCCTCCCAAGAAAGTGTCACCATTGGTTGCTTTGACCTGCATAGAACAGAACATCTCAATATAAGGATATACACAGACTTCGGTGGTGCTAATTAATGATGAATTGAGCACAATTGCTTACCTCGAAAACACCACTCGAGATCTCCAAAATGGAGACATCAAATGTTCCACCTCCAAGGTCAAACACAGCAATAAGCCCTTCCTTGTTGTTCATTCCATAGGAAAGTGCAGCAGCAGTAGGCTCATTGATAATCCTCTGTACATCGAGGCCAGCAATTCTTCCTGCATCCTTAGTAGCCTGCCTCTGGGCATCATTGAAATATGCTGGGACCGTCACCACAGCTTTGGAAACCCCCTTTTGGAGGTATGCTTCGGCTGTCTCCTTCATTTTCGTCAAAACAAATGCCCCAATTTGGCTAGGTGAGTACTGCTGCCCATTAGCCTCAACCCAAGCATCACCATTTGGAGCCTTCACTATCTTGTATGGGACCATTTTCATCTCCTTTTGGGTCTGTGGATCATCAAATTTCCTCCCGATCAAACGCTTGGTGCCGAAGACAGTGTTCGTAGGGTTTGTCACAGCCTGTCTCTTTGCTGGAGTTCCGACAAGCAACTCTCCCTTCTGATTGAATGCAACAACCGAAGGCGTTGTCCTCGCTCCTTCAGCATTCTCAATGACTTTGGGTGTCTGCAAAGCAACAGAATTCGCAATCACAAACCATATCAGAATCAGACCACAAGAAAAGGCACCAGTCACATGAGAACCGACGAACAGTACAAATCACTGTTTTACCTTCCCTTCCATGACCGCCACACAAGAGTTGGTCGTCCCCAAATCGATCCCGATGACATCATTTCCAGCAGGATTTGAACTGTAAGCCAACAATCGGAATATCGTTCAGCAACAAAGCGTACACAACAAAAATTGCATTAAGCTAAATGGCGTGACGAATCGACAGAGATGACAATACCTGAACCCTTTAGACAAAGACCACGACGGCCTCAAGCTACCAGCAGCGGCCTGCGCAAGAACAAAGCCAACGGAAACTAATCAACACCCGAACAAAGCCTAAACCCTAGTGCATCCACTCCGTATAATAATTCAATGTCGATCCAGAAGGGGAAAAAATCTGAAGCTTCTGATTCAAATCCGAGCAAAATCACCGGCAATCGGAATAATTCACATCTAAGAATTGACGAAAGTTATTGAGCTGCAAAGAGAACATACCGATCTGTAGCCAGAGAGGTGAGCAGCGGTGGTGGCTCCTCGAAGGGAGCGACGAAGGAGAACGCCTACGGCCATGGAAGCGACGGAGGAAGAAGGGCTGCGGCGGAGGGTTTAGGGTTTAAGAGGGAGACGAAAATGGGTATTTCTGAAGGTGGAGGAGGGTATTTCGAGTTCGGCCGCAAATTTTTATACCGGACTGCGAAAGGGGCTTTTTGTGCAGCTCAAATGTCTGCAAGGAAGGGGTTTTAAGTGTAATTTTGTGAGCCACGGGATTGGATTGAACACTTTCCGTCGAGCCTTCCAGAAGCTCTCGTCTATCTTGTTCTCAAGAAACATTTACCCCTCTTCTCGAAAGAAGGGAGGAAAATGGAGGGGAGGGGAGGGGAGGGGAGGGGATTAGGAGGGTAGGGAAAATTTGAAGGTTAAAGAAATTGGAAGGAAAATTGTGTTTTATGGTGGAAAGTGGGAAGAAAAATGTGTATTGGAAATTGTGATGGATATGTTATTTTATTTGATTATAATAGTAAAATAATTTGATTATATGTTAATATTATTTTCATGGGTTATAAATTGTGAATTAAATTTGTACTTTCTTACTAATTTTGTTCACTTTTAAAAATCAAAAGTAGATGGTTTGAAATTTTTTTATGAACCTATTGTTAAAATTTTGTTCTCTATTTTTTGGATTCATCAACATAGCAACTACAAATGACGGGTGGGCAACGAGACGGGATTGGGTACCCGTTTCATTTGAAACGGGTACCCAATCCCATTTGAGGAGTAAACTCTAACCCATATTCCAAACCCGTACGGATTAACGGGTACCCATTACCCGTACGTGACATTTAACACATATATAATCACAAATTATAAGATGGAGAATTATATTCGCCGAAAAGCAATGGGTCTGTTTGTTGCCGTGAGCAGAAATGGACAACACTGGTGGAAAAACAAACGTTGGGATGGGCAATTGAGCATCCAGTATGTGGGTTTGTTAAAATGGAAAGCAATTAAAAAAAAGGAGAAAGGAGAGAGTTGGCCGAATAAAAATAGATTAGTGGGGGTTTCTCTCCCTTTTGGAGGGTTAGATTATACAGTAAATTTTCTTTTCTTTTCCCTTCCCCCTTCTTTCAGAAACAACGGAAAATGCATTGGGAATTTAATTTCCCTTCAAAAAATTTCCTTCACCCTATTTTCCTCCCTAAAAAAATAGGGGGTTAGGGCCAATGAAAACAATATAATATATATAATGACTGGTCTACGTCAGGCGTATAGTATACAACCGGTGATATAACCGTTAGATGTATTTAGATGAGCTTCGGTCGATCTCAATGGTCAATTTTTGTTTTTTCGTTAAATCAAACTTCGGATTGGGGTTTAGAAAATCGGCGTCTGAAGTTTATCCATTAGAGGTTAGGGTATAGTATCATACCCCAAACTCGATTTAATTCATAGTCTAAATAGAGATATCTCACTAGTAATGCATGACGTATAGTATGCCCCAAACTCGATATATATATAAATATATGGGTCACACTCGTATGCGTCAGACACATACTATGCGACAGGATTTCTACACCGTAGATCTAATCTAACGGTATTTATTAATTGGAATTAAATTATTTAATTTTTACAATTTTTAAATGATTAGTTGGTCCTATTACTTTTTTATGCGTACCCTTTTAACCCCTAAACAAACTTTTCAACATATTTTCGAATTATAGTACCAAACTTTATTCTAATCATGTCTCCAATCCATTAAGTTATATTTACTTTCAATTTTAGTTTGGTGATTTATTCCTTTTGCCACTCATGAGTCATGTCAACGCTCAAACCCCCTTTCCAATTGCTGTCTATAGTGGCTGACGGACCCTATCCTCTCATCCTGGCTATCGATTGAAGCAATTGGATTTTGCGCTTCCCATCGATGTTTAATCCCTCTATGGATTAAGAGAGTGACCTGTTCGAGGCATGATGGATTGAATCTTGTGCTCGAGAGGCGGATGAGGAAGGGATGATCGGAGAAGTGAAGAGTGCAGACTCGAGAGGTGGGCCGTAGTGTGGATCGCCGATAGCGGTGGGGAGGTACGCTGCCGTTGATGGCCAACGGGAAGTGCGAATACCAACAACAGCAGCCAGAGCGGACGAACGAGACTGATGGCATAAACTTTGATAGCTATGAATAATGGGGCTTACTTGAAATTGCAGAAGTAGAAGTTGTACTAGGTCAAATTTGTCTTTTAAATTTTCTATAGATGTTTATGGGATGTCTGATTTCATTGGTAGCAATAACACATTAAGATTCACTGTCTCCCTTTCCCCATGTGCAGATTGCAGAAGTTTCTCAACCCTTTTTTATTGACTGGGTGATTTCTCAGCATGATCACACTTTAGGATGGACTGGTTGTGCTTTTGACCTTGAGGTTAGTCCGTAGTTGTGGTGGATGATTTCTAGTGTAAGCCTCAATCAGATTCACCTTGATCACTTAAAGTTGTACTATGCAATTGTTAACCGCACTTAATTAAATATGAACAACCACAGTAGGGTAATTTGCGAAACATGTGAACTTGAAAATAGTTGATGGGGCATGCAAGACTAGGAACCTTTGTGTTTCCTGTTGTTTGTGCAGGACTGGGAACCTTTGTCCCTGCAGAAGAGGTAAGCGACATCAATAGTTGAGTCAGTTAGGTATTACACATCTGCAGACGCTGTTGTCTATAAACTTTCACAGCCTGGATTCCTCTCTGCGGAAACTGTTGAGTCAGTTAGGTATTATGCTACACCTGATAGAACATTCAATTTGTTTTAGTACGCTACTTGACCACTAACTGGACAGGAAAAGGAGTTGAACTCTGCCAATGTTGATTAGACTACTTTCCCTTTGTTTTTTACATAGTTTAAGTCATAGTTGTGTTTCTCTCGTGTTGCATTGGCAGTTCCGAGGAATAATCTATATCCCGCCCATTCCTCCGTTAACTCGCTATACAGAATCTGTGATAATTCGTCGTCTTTCGAGGCTCAGAGCATGGTTGACTTTTGTGAAAGATTGGTTTTTGAATGACTTTTTAACAACTGGAACCGTTGATGTGAAGAACTCACTCCTTGGAGAAGGCTTGATATCTCTATAATGAACCACTACTGAAAGAACTACCTTCTGCTTCTCAAGATTTAATGAGATATTAGCATACATCATTCATCTAATAAAACCTTTTCTTTACAGTTTGTAATTAGCCACTTACACAACTCTGAATAATGTGATGGCTTAAGTTGTTGCTAGCTTTCAATCAAGTTTTTATTATTATCAATTTGTATGTATTCTCTCATTCTGCCTTCTTTTTGTAGAACTGACCTCCCTGGTGTCTTTCTTTTCAAATGTCACTTGGCAGGTGCCAGAGTAATCTTTTGGGATCTCAGAGAGAGATTCTTGTTTGGTTTTTACAAATTGGTGATGTTGGATCTTCTCGCTTGGGAAATTTCCTTCCTCAAACAGATAATGTAAGACTGTCAACTTCAGTGGAGCCTCCTCTTTGTTTATCTTGCTTGCTTCTCTTAGCTGAACTTGCACTATTTTTCAGGTTCTTGATGAGATATGCCGATTGATTGATGATAAACTCAGAGACTCGATGTTGTTAAGCGTTTGCCGAGCATAGTTGGTAGGTCTTCAAATTCTCTTTTGTACTTTGAATTCGCAAACCTTCCATTATAGCTGGTATATAATTTGTATACATTATCTTGCTACAGTAGGGATATGTTTGGGTGTTGCTTAACTGAGGCCCCTCTCGTGCATTCTCTGATTCAGATGTTGTTATGATGGAAGAAGACTTCTATCATTTCCTCTCTCTCTCTCTCTCTCCAATGCATATGTGATATGTGTAATTACGTCTGTGTTCGGTTCATCAATAGTGATGGCCGAAAATTTTTTTGGTCAAGAAAGAAACAGTGCTAGGTTGGCTACTGATAAATTCATTTTCATTCTTCAGGTGTTCTTTATAGCCAGTGGAGATGGCCTCCCTCATTTGGTGGTGGAGCCAGAAGCAATAGAGGAATATGCTTGTAAATAGGCTTGTCATTGGTGGGGATTTAATCTGTACTCCTTGTTAATAGGCTTGTTTTCCTTAGTTGGATCAGTTTAGGTGTCAATTGAGGAATTCTTTTTTTGGACGTAATGGTATTAATAAATTAGCTTTGTTTGGCGGTCTATATAAAGGGGCGACAAGCCTAGAGTTTACCTTGTAAAAAATAACTCCTACCGTTCTCCCTGGTGACTTTAGCAAAAGTAAGGCTTTTCTTCTCTGTTGGCGGGGAGCTGAACTCATTGCAATGGAGAAATCTCGGTACAGTGCAGCAACTAAAATAGCTCTTTCTATTGGTCGTTTGTGTTGTTCATTTCCTACAACCTTTTTCCTTTCATATATGCGCTGTCTTTATTCACTCCTTAAGCCACTTTGATTTTTGTTTGTTTATGACTTGATGCTCCTTTAATTCCCTACAATTATGTAAGTCCTTAGTTATTTATTGTTTTACATGGGCAAAATTTGTTGTTTAGCATGTCGAGCCATGGTACTAAGGAAGTTCTTGGATCCATATCGACTACCTTTCGAGCCATGGAGACGACAATCACTGAGTTGTACGATAAGATTAAATCTTTGACTGCAATGATAAGGAAAACTGATCTGAATTTCAAGTGCTAAAGAGGATGTCGAAACGCATTGTTGATCAAGCATCTGGAAGTTTACCTCCCACTGATGTTCCTGTCACGCCTACCTTAAAAAGAGTTTATTGTATTGATTCAAACCCAGACTCAGATCGCGATAGCGATGGTTCACACAAGAGGCAAAAATATGCGGTCATGGAAGATTTAAATGAGTTGGTGAAGGTATATAATATTTATTTAAACAATTTGCACTTGTGTCATTTTAAAATGTTTATGATGTACCTATGTATTGTAATTTTTGTTAAATTCAAATCGTAGGTGGAATTTCTGGTGACTGCATCTGGAAGTTCAGCTCCCACTAATGTTCCTGTCACACCTAGCGTAAAAGGACTTATTTATATAGATTCTGACTCAGACGCAGATGGCGATGATTCACACAAGAGGCCAAAAAATGCGGCTGTGGAATATATAAATGTGTCGGGAAGGTATACAAAATTTATTTAAAGAAATTACACCCGTGCGATTTTAAAATGTTTATGATGTACCTATGTATTGTAAGTTTTGGTAAATTCAAATCGTAGGTGGAATTTCTGTTGACTGCAATAATGGCGTTAGATAATGATGAGGATCGTTCTATTGCGTGTTTCATCTTTGGTGATGGTCTACAAGATGATAAATGGCTTGTTGAGAATTTTGGCCATAGTTTAAGTCGTCTAGAACTAAAGGACTTTCTGCCGGAAATGTGGCTTCACGGTTATGTAAGTATTTTGTAGTTCTTTTTTGGTAAGGCATACTTGACCACATGTTAGCTATACTAATCTTGGGTTTTGCTTATTTTAGATTTTGACTGCTGTTGCTTGTCAATTAGCTGTTGATGTTAGGGCCTGGGGGGAAAAGGGACCTTGATACCTTCCTTCCAATTTGGAGGTAAGCAACAATTATGGAAAGCTCTTTACAGTAAGTTTACTTTTTTTTCCTCCCAAAGTTGAATAGTGAATGTGAACTGCAACCCAGGATTTGGTTGTGAAAATGGGTTGGACTCCAAAAAAAGTCGTGGAAAATTATAAGAACCTATATCTTGGCGGCACATTTGAATGCACCAAGGTACGGTGTAATAATATTAGTAAATTTTTCAGAGTTCCTTATTCTTTTAATGTTTTGCCCTTTAGTGTATAGTCCATTCATTCTTTCGTCATCATTTACTTGTTTATTTATTTCAGATATATTTGCCAATGAATGATGAGAACCGCCATGGGTTTCTTATTGTGGTTTTCATGGACCGAAAGGTAGTGCATGTAGTGGACTCTTTGCCTAATGATTTGGGTTTGCTGGAAAATCGTTGGAACAGGGTGCAAGGAATGGTGGGTGATCAAACTATTCCCTTCGTCTAAATTTAGTAACTCAATTTTCTTTTTTTTTAATTTTTGTACTGTAATAGTTACGTGGTTAAGTTTGTTGTTACAGTTGAAATTCTTTTACAAGATGCTTCAAGAATTTCCAGACAAGCCATCAACCTATGAAGTGCCCAAAGTGAATAAGTTCCAAATCATAAGTCCTCCATACGTTTCTAAGCAAATTGATGAGTTAGTATTTCTTTGAGTATTTTTATTATTTCATTTCGATTCACAATCTTATTTTCAATAATAAATGCTATTTTTCCACGTAGCTATGAGTGCGGGTTTAACGTTCGTTAGTGGATGTTGCACGGAGAGGCTGATAATAATTCGTATATGGCGGTATAATACAATCTTTTCCTTCTAAATATGATTCCATCCACGTGAGATTCTACACTATCAAATCGAAATCAACATATTAAGAGGAATGTTCTAAATTTGGTGCAGGTTTGTAGTAATAGAGGTCGACTATCCTTGGCCATAAGTTTAGTCAAAGATCTCTAAAATACAAGGCGCGCTGAAATTATTGCTGAAGCAAGGGCCATTTATGTAAGACATTTCAAGGGGAAAATCAGCTCAAAATGCCAAAAGAGTTTATTTGATTCATTTTAGAAAAATAGTTGTTTTTGTTTTATTGGTAGTCGATCGGTTTTATACTTTTATTGGTAGTTGGTCGGTTTTACTATCACTTTGATCCTAACTAAATTCATTTTAGATAGGTTTTGGTGTTTACCTTTATTTTTTCTTAAATCCGAATGTTGGTTCACGTTTTTGTGGCTTTGTTCTTGATGCTTGTTCAGCTGAGATAAGGCTTAAAGAATACGCCTAGGCTCGATTAGTGGCAAGGCGCTAGGAAAACACCGAGCCTTGAGCCTTAACTGCCGTGATTTCATTATGGGATTGAAGGGATTGGGATTGTATAGAAGAAGACGACTTTGACCTTTCGTCTGGTCAGTGGGCTTTTTTGTTTATCTTTATTTTGGCCCAAAAAACGCGCCAATTCTTGGCTTTGGCCTTTGGATATCTCATATCTTGCCACCAGAAGACGCCAGAGATGTATGCGTTCATCGGAGCAAACCTAACCATGTTGGATCCAACAAATATCTTCAATAACAAAATTTTAACCCAATAACAAGTGTTTTTAGTTGCTCAGAGCTGGATCGTATCGAGATAGTGGTAGATTGATAATGTATATATGTATCTTCTCCAACTAGACCCTGTAACTTACAGTCGGCTACAACTAATTTGTCTTTAAATCATAGCAGGACAACTAAATATCGCCACAAAGTCAAAGAGCTTCAATGACCCATAAAGTTGAATTGCTTCGATACAATGACAGATTCATTACAAAAAAGCACTGAAACTTAAATCCATATCAAACACGGATTCACACTCCCATTCGCTCCAAACGCCGGTCATCATACTAAAGGAAAGTATTGGTTACAACTTTCAACTTACCACCCAAAAAAGGAAAGTATAGGTTGATCAATTTGTGCCTCTTGGGCTCTGGGCTCTCACCAAAGGAAGGCATTTTTGGACAGGTAGTATTGGCAGATGATTTACACGTGGACAGACAAGTCAAACAATTCAAGGGTATTGTTTTGGTTCTCAACAAACATGAAAAGGGAACGAGACAAGCAGACAATTCAAACAATTCAAGGGTATTGTTTTGGTTCTCAACGAAAATGAAAAGGGAAACAAAACTAGAGTACTGGCAGGAGAACTAATCAACGAAAACATTCATAAACGTTTGCAGGAACCAATATCCAGAATATACTACTGCAGGAGAAATGAACCACTATCTCCCTATGAATCTTCTTGTTCTGGATTACGCTCTTTTGGCTTTCTTCCTTGTACCTACGAGTCTGGGCAACAAATCTCGATGCATTCCTATTTGCTTCCTCGATGACAACATAATGACAGCTTACCATAGTTACTACTGCTTTTCTACGATATCTTTTGCGCTTTTTAGAAGGATACGAATCCAATAGATGGACTTGTTTGTCGTCCAGCATGATGACAACTAAATACCAGTGAACTGCATCACCGTCCATTGCATCTTTCATGGGCAGACACACCTAAATAACGACGAGAAAGGCCAAATTCAGCTAAGCATTGTAAAATACAATTTACAGAAAGATCAAAAGTTTGATGGAACATCTAATTTATTCGCATATCCAATTCAAACAGTAGCTAGAAACAGTAATTGAGGAATATTTCAATGAAACAAGAAATGAATTGTTAAGAAGAAACCTTTCTGCACGTGTGAGCTCTTGCCAAGAACTTTGCACCGTAACACTCTATAGCTTTTTTTATGTCATGCCATAGTTAATTACCATTTCCTGATCATGGTTCATTTAAAACAGAAGATAAAACATTCATCCTATTTAATAGGAGAAACAGAATATTGCACCTGAAATAAATATACAAAGTAAATGGGACTATACTTGCAGTTCAGCAGGCAGATAACAGACTATTCTTCCATCTCCAACATCCCTCCAAACTTCCTCCAGGCTCAATTGGCAAGCCATGGCTGTAATTACATCATCATCGACATTAGACTTAGGGCAGAGGGACCACAACACCT